GTTCTGTCTTGAGGTTTTTTCAGCGTCCCAGCTTTCATGCATTCATTTTTAATTTCATGTTTATCCATCCTGTAATTGGCTTTGATTGTTGTTAAATAAGTAAAACTTAATAAGTAAGGTCCATCGAAATGAGCCGCCACCTATTGCCAGAATCAACCACGGCGAGAGTGAGAACAGCAAGCTTTTTAAAAATGAGAATCACAAGATTGATGTACGGCCTGATAAAAGTAAATTTTCAATCATAGACAATGATAAGTAAAACTATATATTTACACTTGATAGTTCCGTTGACATAGAACAGATACAGCAGAGCAGGTGGACGGAAATCCTGTATATTTGCATGTTTGCTGGTGGCCGGAAAGCGCCCTGCGACTTCAAGGATTGAGGTATGGACGGCAATTCGGGCTTGTTTCCTCACTGCCTGAATATATTACGTTGCATATAAAGCCACCTGGAAGCTTCTCATATTCAATATTGTATTATTACTATTGAAATGCTAATGCAGCATACAGTCTGACCTGACACGTGTCGTAACGAAAGCAGGTTTTCACTAGACAAACAAATTAATTACTACTTAACACACTAATTTATAATTCCGTGTTGGCATCGATCGCTCTTTCGTGACTGAACCACGACTCCTCGATGCCTGTATGCATGTGTCGCCTTTTTCAATGGTTCGAGCGTATGGAGGGGTGTTTTGAACTCCGTACCCATACTGCGCAACTTAAAATGACATTATATCGATTTTCTTGATATTATGAAAGATTTTTATACAATTTTATGTTGGATTCCTTGTAAAATCACAACTTCGAAGGAACTAGTTGTAGTTCACTTCATGTTCACTAGCAGTCTCTGTTTGTTGCCGACTAGTAATCTGTATTCATGATAATTCCGTTGGTTTCTTGTCACAAATACATTTACTCCAGATCTATCTATCTAAATTTTTCCTTATTTATCCTGGATATGCCACATGCAAATTAGTTGAACTTAAAAAATGCGAGGGCTCAAAAAAGGAAATCCCTCGTTGTTGAGGCATAATAGAACGAACAGATGAGAAAATAGGCTACACATAAGAATATTCTCTAATAGTGACTGGTAATATTCCTGTTGGGGGTATTGGCAGAACACACGAAGAATGTTTAATTGTTATGATATTTATATATTTATGAAGAAGAAGTTGACTGACCTGCCACATACACAACGCGGTGGTAATTTTCCGTAATGACTCAACGAAAATTTTTGAAAATGTAAGAAAACTGACGCATTTTGTTTGGTAATTACAACATGAGCTTAAAAAAGACAAAAGACAGACAAAGTATACTCATAGACTATCTTGGCAACTGACAACCCACAAGGCATATGCTGGCGAATGCGAGTTGCAACATCTTACATGGTCGCTAAGCCATTCGTCCATGAGTCACGCTCAGACCGAGTAGGCGCGCAATGTGCTATTACAAAATTTGACATCATACCGATTTTTAATGACATTATGTAGGAGCACAGCTATAACTCCTGTCCCAGTATAGTTGCTAGGCAACATGGTAACGATACTTATAGGGCGCACTCTTTCTAAAATTCGCACGCTATTGCTCGCTTTTTATTTCTCTCTTGTACCCATTAAAAGCCAAGTCCGAAAAGGCAAATGAATTTCGCTATAATATGTAGCAAAAATTTACAACTTAAGAGAATAATACATTCCCAAACAGTAGTTGGTGCGAGTTTTGGAAACCGGTAATGTATTAGCTTTGCTTTTCTCGTCTTCTGTGCGTTTTGTTATGTTTGGATTGGAGGTCGTGTCATCCACGACAACTTTACAGTTATTCCATACATGGTCCTCTGGTTGAAAGTAACTACTGCTTTAGGACAAACTTGACATTGAAAAATGATTTTCGAAAGTTAACTTTTGGTTAGCAGCTGAGTTGCAGTCAACTTACGATAGCGGGCCTTGTACAGATATGGTTTCTCTAGAACAAAATGTTCCTACTGCTAACAATCAAAAGCTCTGCGCTGTATCAAATATAGTCGAAGGACCTTTCACAGTAAGCTTGCAGACAACTACAAACAAAACTCAATGAAGGCAACACGCTCAATTCACCGTCACACAGAATACCTCAAACGTCGGGGCCCTGCAAACATGTGCAAATATACAGGGTTATCCAAATTAAGTGTCCACCATTGGTAACTTTGTTATTAGTAAAAATACAAAGTTGTTTAAATTAGCAAACTAGTAGCATTTTTAACGCTGGTAAAGATGAGAAATAAAAAAAAACAATTGAGAGTCGTTATTTTGATTTTTTTCAGTAAAATAACATTTTTTTAAATGGAAACCCCTGTATATTATATTTTTTTCTGTTAAAGCATCAAATTTTAAACAAAAAAGTTCATAATGACTTTTCCGCTAAAGTCAAAAATAAAGTCAAAATAACGATAAATATTTTTAATTATTTGCAGTATTATAATATTAAGACGGCTATGAAAACAACATGGCGTTCGCGATTTGACAGCATTAAGATAAGCGACAAATTGTTAAACTGGACATACTCGCAACTAGAAGGCTTTGGAAAACAATGATAAAATCAAATAATGTCAAACATTAGTGTAAATACTTGTTTATAAGCTTTATTGTGTCATTAATTTAAAGAAAAATGTTCTCCCATGAAGAAAAGTGTGATATGTTAGAATGCTATTTAGTGTGCAGAAAATCCTCCTTGAGAGCAAGAGAATACTACAGTGAATTATATCCCGCTCGCATTCAACCGTATGAACGATATTTTCTGAGACTTTATCGAAAATTTAGGGGCAACGAAAATGTTTTTGCTAAAACAAGGGCAAAAAAAAGAATTCATAATAAGCGAGGCCACGGAAATTGCAGTTATTGGATATTTTGAAGCTTATCGTGAGAATTCAATAGCAGATATTCTCAAGGACTCTAATTTCAGTTATGGTACTGTTCAAAGGATTTTAAAAAAATACAAATTTATTCCGTATAAGTACCGACCAGTTCAAACGCTTTTGGCAGGGGATCCAGAGAGAAGACTTGTTTTTTGCCATTGGTATCTTAGCTTCTGTCGCCAAAATGTAAATAACTTTCGTTACCTTTTATGGACAGATGAATCAAATTTTTCAAATTCTGGAATGTTTAATAGAAAAAACCACCATTATTGGTCAAGAGAAAATCTTTTGTTAGTACATCCAAGAGGCCCACAAGTCCGTTTCAGTTTCAACGTTTGGTGCGGTATAATTGGTTCAAAAATTGTTGGCCCGTTCTTTTATGAGGGAACCCTAACTGGTGAAAGATATGTGGAATTTATGTCAGAAATTCTGACTAATTTCTTAGACGAATTGGATCTTATAAGTAGACATCATCTGCATTTTCAGCAAGATGGCGCACCTGCCCACAACTCCAGAGGTACTTATCATTTTCTAAGTACTACTTTTAATGATCAGTGGATAGGAACAAATGGCCCAATACAGTGGCCTCCCAGATCACCAGATCTAAACCCACTTGATTACTTCTTGTGGGGTTACTTAAAGAACCAAATTTACAAGCGAAGGTACGATAACCTTGACGCGTTAAAGACTGCAGTTAGGGAAAAGATAACCCAGATAGATGGTAGGACCATACTTAAGACAGTTCGAGCAGTTGAAAAACGTGCCCAAAAATGTATTGAAGAACAAGGTGGTGTTTTCGAGCATCTTCTTTAAAAAAAATTGTTATTGTATTTTGTAAGATTATAAGTTGATGTTGAAAATAAAGTTTGTCGATACAATTTAATTGTTTCAGATTGGAGGCCATAACTTCAACAATTTGTAACCTAGGAGAAAAGTTATTGTAAGCTTTTTTGTTTAAAATTTGATGCTTTAACAGAAAAAAATATAATATATAGGGGTTTCTATTTAAAAAATGTTATTTTACTGAAAAAAATCAAAATAACGACTCTCAATTTTTTTTTTATTTCTCATTTTTACCAGCGTTAAAAATGCTACTAGTTTGCTAATTCAAACAACTTTGTATTTTCACTAATAACAAAGTTACTAATGGTGGACACTTAATTTGGATAACCCTGTATAGAAATTACGTTATTGCATAGATTCTCTGTACGTGACTGCCTACCAGCCCTTGGGACCATTTAACTGATTTAATGAGGCTGTTAACGGTAGAAGTCTGCTGGGAAATCAGTACATATATGTTGTATTATGTGCTGTATGCAGAATGGTTTGTATTGAATTGCGTCTTTATGTTTTGCTAAGGGTAGTAGGTGTATGGACATTAATTATGGATATTGGTGCTGTATATGGAGCTCAGGTGGTATAGCATTTCAAACTATACATGTTTTGGCTCCACATTCTCGGTTGTAAGACAGGGACATATTTACCGAAAATCCGTAAGTCATTACTGGCATGCTTCTTGAGACTGGAGAGGGTGTGCAGAAAAATAAGTTATTCGTTGCACAGGTTAAGCCATAGGTAACGCTCTGGTTAAACCACTTGGACTCTTGGGGATAGGTCCAATTTTCCCATTGACAATAAAGCCACAGTTAACCTGCGATAAAAAACCAAGCCTTGCACGCCCCCCTTTCATAGTTCATCGCAAACAGATTAAAATTCGTAACATGTTAGAAAACGCTATGGAGTACAGGCAATACGTCTGTCCACTGACGCTGCTTCTACAAGCATTTCCAATACCCTTTTGTATTATCTGGTGGTGAGAAACCGAAGGAATCTGGACCCCCCAAGATTTCATTGATTCTCATTACTACTAAGTGGTATAAAAAATCCCAGTAATAATGAATTTATCACACTTATCTAGTTATATGTTTGTTCAGATTATAACAAAGAACGTTCAGCTTTTCAACCATATCAATACAGTGGTTTTTTAAAAGAAGGGGGAAATCTGTCGGAGGAGGGGTGCGTCATGAGCTACCAAATAATATTCGCAAATTTTGAATTGATCAAATTAATTCAGAAGCTTGTCAATTTTGAATATCATTTTGTTCCAGGTATCCAGTTTCTCCGTGACTGCCCCCGAGAGCCCAATATCCCCGTGTACATGGTGGTTGGAGGTGGGGTAGGTTGTATCAAGATGGGTCTCACCCTCTACTCCCAGTTGCACACCCGTACACGTACCGAGGCTGACAATGCAGCCATGGCTGCTTCCATTGGATCCAAAGTGGCTTCTGTGGCACTCACCGTACTTCTGGTCACGTGGTTTGCTTTGGGGAATTATTGGATTCTTCGGATCAAGTGGCCGGATTATACACCAACGTTGTTCGAGCCTAACAGGTACGACTATTCGAATTATACGTTTAAATATGGTATTCTCGTAGAAAGTTTTTACTGAAACGAGGTTTTAACTGACTCGAGCTGCTTTTACATGAGCTTTTTTTCAGTTTGAGTGCGATAGATTCCTTCCCCATCTTTTTCACTGACTCATGATCTGAAATTCACATCAATATACTTTATAACTGCTACATGAGATCAGCTTCGGCTATTTGTTTGCCTAATAAGAAAATATCAGGGCATTCAGCACCTTTCCTACTGGTAGTGAGTATGTACAGCACATGTAAAATGGTGAATGCAAATGGGAATAGAATACATACAGAATCGGCAGATGATCTTTGAGGTCAAGTATTCAATGTATATGCGTGAGATGGAAAGAGAAACATGTATGCTAGAGCAAGAGGTCCAATGAAAGATGGTCTACACCGAGGGCAACGAGTCTGCAGATGATTTATTCGCGCTCCCGCTCTAAAATACCAGTTTACCTCTATCTATCTCGCTCGTACATAGTTAATACGGACATCAATGATCCTCTGCCGATCCTGTATGTACCAAGAAACTAAATAGACTGCAAAGTAACTTTAATAGTTACATGTTTGTATAATTTCTCCTAACAAATACTAGAAAGGCATTAATAGCGTTCAGGTCTTGTGTAAGAGGAATGGGTGACATCCCATTTGACCAATGTCCGGGAGGACCTTGTACAGTGTTGGCCAAGGTCGCTTTCTCTTCAAGAGTTCAAAGTGTGCGAGACAGAGAGAGAGAGAGAGAAGCGAATTAAGTGTCTCAGAAAGAGAGCGCCATATAAGCGCCGTCGTCATGTTGCCTGGCAATACGCACTACGTCACTGTCGTTCTCAGGTAACATGGCTTATATGACCAGGCCTGTATATAGCGCACCCATGTATATGGAGTAAGAATTTGTAATGAAAAAAGGCGCTAGGATATATCCACCAGGTTCTGGATGTCAAGGAGGGGAATGCGAAGAGGCGATAATAAAAGAAAACCCCTGAGCTTTCGCTAGATTTATTCATAAGAACTTGAAACCTGGAACACACTTTGAATGTTATCTTTAGGTAATTCATGCAACATAATTTTCACTCCGCTTTCATATCGCTCGCATTAAAGTTTGAACAAAAACAGCAGGAAATTTTCTCACTCTTTGTGACCAGTAAGGACTTTTAACTCATTTCAGCACCATACCTTGTTTCCTCTATTTTGGGTAGTAAGCGAAACTAAGTTTGATTTACAAAATTCTGTACATTTCATTAATATTTGATCACTTTAGAGCATGTCAAGGAATCTTTTGGTTCTGAATATATTCCGGATTGCGGTTGCTTTAGAAGGATTTTTGAGTTTTTCTCAAATCCGGTCATATTGGGTCTGCCAAGAAGCAACAAGGGAATATTTTGAAGCTTTGTTCTTTTACGTGTCCTTAACTTTCTTCTCATTTTAGGATTTCAAAATACTTTTGTGGTTTTCAAGATTGCCAAAGTCCCCCAAAGTGTCTTGTATTTATTTCTTAGGCAAATATCAAAGAATTGCATGAAAAACTGAGGCGTCTCTATTTAAAACGTATTTCGATAATTAACAAACGCAGTGTACCTCACTCGTTCACTCACATTCCTAAGGAGATCCAGCATAATGGATCTTACCAAACAAAGGATGGTATAAGAATCGTGAATGTCTACTTGACACTACCTTTTCCTTGTTACAGGTGGTGCCACAAAACCTTGTATGTCTTCTCAATCGTCCACCTATGCATCATATACTCCCTAGCGGGACTGGTAGTACTGCTAGTCCTAATCCTAGCTGGCTGCCAACTACTAGGCTGCCCATGGCTGGGTCCAGCCAGATACAAATAGCATAACCCTCCTGACTACTTTGAGCTGTGGGACGTCCCTAGGACATACCATTAAGGAAATTGGATGCTACCGACGGAGCTACTACACAGCTTCGTATACGGTGAGACTTTCTTATTTCTAGCTGCTAGCTGAAGGTATAGTATTTTCCTAGTTCCACCTGTTGTAAAGTTATTCTATAAAGAGGAATGAAGCGAATATACACGTTTCATATTTCACTTTCTATGAGGACATAATATACTAGCTTTATTGACATTCGATTATTACTTCGATTATGATAGTGCATTAGAGGTTAGTAATTACCTAATCGTGGACCATTACATGAAAGTGTGCAAGGCGACTGCGTCTCGAGCTCGAACATACAAAATCCATTACAAGTCCGTCAAAAGTTTTATTGATTGGCGTAACTGCCACGGTTCTTGAGGTAACCAAAGATATAGGTTGATAAGTGGGCCATTATTGGTCGAACACTTTTACTCGTACATGGCGCATAGTGAGATTAAGTACAGATCCACGTTTTTGGGTTGCTAGATATGGTCCGTGTCACTGTAGACAGGTAAGGCCGCCTATAGAAGAGAGTCGGAGAGAAAAATATGTCTTGACTTAGAAGAGGTATAAGATATTGGACTAACCAGAGTGTGCCGTGATTGTTTCATAGAGCCGAAGATAGAGAAATGTTTAAATTAGTTGTCGCCAACCTTCGATAGGAGACGACCGCAAAAGGTCACCGTTTAAACGTAGTAAGTCTAATTACGCTTTTACCAGAACAGAGAGGCTAAATGCTGTAAGTCATCACTCCATTTTGAGGTATGTGTTGAAGGCTACAAAAAAGCTATGTTTTGTTGAACGTGCCCATATTTTCAGTCCTAACTTACATATTTTTACTCCTTTAACATATATATGGTGTAAAGTTTATAGTAGATCAACGGAAGTCAGGTGATAGAGGGCCTCAAAACATATCGAATTAACTCCTATATGTGTGGTCCGAAATTTTATAGTTCAGGAGATATTTGCAATTTTGTAAAATTTCGAAAAAAAAAACGGGATAATGAACTTTCAATTGCAATTAAAACTAAACCATTAGGCTTAGGGCATGTTTGATGCAGGTGGGTATCTATACATGTAAACAAGAAATTCTATTTTACGAGCTACAGTCCAAACGACTAGATGGATTTTGACATATGAGGTACTAATAAATTCGTCCTAGCAGTGCGAGTCATACTATGTGTATTAACATTTTTCAAAATCAAAATGGGGGATTTTTTTACGCAAACCTCCAAATCAGCTTAATGAGCTTGGGCATTCAACTTGGCATTCCAGGTGCGGGAGCGGTCAATCAACCCGACCGAAATTACTAAGCCAGGCTATGGTCCAGCGCGGAATTTGTATCTAACGTTTGGCGTCTGAGTAGAATAATCTCATACTCTGCGAGATTATGCAGAAATGCATAACTATTATGGTGCTGCCTTAGGGAGTTCTCGAGCAGCTGCTCGCACGTGTTGGGAGTATGTGAACCACAACCGGCGATATATACCGACTAACGCACTAGGCACTCATCGTCTGCTAGGAGCGCCGAGGATACGCCCAGAAGAAACAGAAGATATAATAGAAAGCAGCCGAGAGAGATCCCTCTATAAGCACCAGAGCCATTGCCCGAAGCAGAAACATATCCCATACTCCAGCGCACACAATACTACGCTTGGAGAACATGCATCCTTACCATGTACAAAAAGTACAAGAATTGCTTCCAAGAGACTATGCACAACGGGTTGATTGAAGAGAATCAAACTTTTTTCGACAGCATCTTATGGACAGATGACTCCAACTTTAATCGAAATGGAATATTCAACATGCACAATTTTCATCCATGGAAAATCCGCACGCTATTCACCGACACAGCTTTCGACGTCAGTTCGGCGTTAATTTATGGGCTGGAGTACTCAACGGAAAATTAATTGGATTATATGAATTGCCCGCCAGGTTGAATGATAAGTCATATCTTGCTTTTCTACAAATCAGTTTGCATCAGCTGCTAGACGATGTAGGTACCTTTGGACGTTCGAAGCCGCAAGTATTTTCAATGCGATGGTCCCCATGCCTTTCACGGCGTTGTACAGGTAGAGGTGGACACATACGATGGCCTCCAAGGTCACCCGATTGAAATCCTCTAGATTTTTTTATAAGGGGGTTTTATAAGGGGTTAATCTATACATCTGACTTTACAAATTCCAATCAACTGCGCCAGAAAAATAAAAATTATGGAAAACGCAAATTCATTTCAAAGACTAAAGGGCAGTTTTATTAGATATCGCTTGTGTATAGAAAATAATGGAGGCCATTTCGAACATGTTGTTTAAGAGTAAGTTAAATTAAATTATCTTCCACATTTGTCGGTAAATCGCCATAAAAAGCGGCTAAACACAATAGGTTCTGTACTTGTAGGTGGTAAGGATTCTCTATTGCGTTTCTTACGTTTATCGCATCACAACAGCGAATGTGACATGACATACTCATCGTAGCAAGCTGAAATTTTCAGGGTTTATTCTACATGGATTAAAATAGTTTTTCCAATAAAATGAATAGTGAAATACAACCCCTTTTTTAACGCCCTCCAAAGTTGAAGGATGAAAGAGATTCATCACAAAATTAATTTCTAATAAGCTCTGTTAAAAAGTGACATATCCATTGCAAAAATTAACCATTTAGCTCATCTCGGAGAAAAATCACAGCCCTAAGCCTAATGGTTTATTTGTAATTGCGACTGAAAGTTCATTATCCCGTTTTCTTTCGAAATTATACAAAATTGCAAATATCTCCTGAACTATAAAATTTTGGACCACACATGTAGGGGATAATTCGATAGGTTTTAAGGATCTCTATTACCTGATTTCCGTTGATCCACTACTGACTTCACATCCTGTATGTGTTTCATTCATACACATGTAGATATTCTATAATATCCCAATGGAGAATATAGAGAAATCTCCCAATAAATCTACTCGAACTGACTTACAGCATTTGCCCTGCCCGCTCTGATAAACTTCAATGTGATGCAGCTCTCATGTAAAATATATATTATTACTGCCGCCCCGGTGGCGGTAAACCTTATAGGTAGTTCCAGTAGAAGCTTATGGTGTGTGTATGCGCTCCCATTCCATATAAATGCAAATGCAAATACGCTCTTTGCACATTTTTACTCCTTACCACAGAAATGTCGGTGTATATTGTAATCTTTGGGAATTTTCAATTTGGGCTGAATGCTTTTTGTGCACGGATAAGCCAAACATGACGCCACATTGTATGTATCAGATTCAGTTCTTTTCGGGAATATGCCAAATAGTGAGAAGATAAGGATTTGGTTTGCTCATTTGTGAAGTGATGTATTGGTATATGCCAAGCAAACAGAAAGATAATGCGGATATCGTAGGCCCTAAAGTAGTCAACCCCAGCAGCTCGTGCAGGAGAAGATAATTTAAGGATGTACAGGGTACCCAATAAGTACCACGACAAACTTCAGGAGAAAGTAGGCTTTGGACTGATCTCCCTAATAACAAAAACTTATCTATATAAAAGTGTCACCGTTTTTGAGGTATTGATTTTTTTAAAATTTTAAAAAAAGAACCCTTTCATCTGTGGTCTTTAGCTGCATGTACAAATGAGGTTATACTTTGTTCATTTCTTCTATAAAATAATTCTAGACAGTTGCTGTATCATATACAAATGCAATGTAGTTAAAAGATATTACGGAACCATGATCAAATAAGGACTATTTTGGGATTTATAACCTTCTGATATTTTTTCCTCAACTTTGACCATCCGTGGTGAAACAAAAATGTACTGCATTATATTAAATATACTAAGTGACATATAAATCCGAACACCCAGTTTAAATGGTTTTATTTAAATAAAATTTTGTATAAATACTTAATGAAGCATAATAAGTAAATGATAAAAATTTCAAAATGATTGCACTGCTTTAAAGCCCTTTGACCTTTAATAATGTGTGGATGCACCCTGATGTGCTACGCATTCTCCAACGCGCCTAGGCATGCTTCTGATCAGGTGGTCAATGTCCTCCTGTGGTATCTCATTCCAGGCAACCACCAACTCCTCTCGCAGTGCTTCTAGAGTCTGAGGAGGACGTTGCAAATTGAGCAATCGCCTACCCATCATATCCCACACGTGCTCAATTGGGGATAAGTCGGGAGATCTTGGTGGCCATGGTAACAATGTGAAATCATCATGTTGAAAGCAGTCTATTGTGACTCTTGCAACATGTGGTCGGGCATTATCTTGTTGGAAAGCTGGATCTGCCAGGGTGTCAAGATAGGGTAAAAGATGGGGTTCTAGAACTTCGTGGATATAACGCTGCGCGTTCATGTTACCTCTGATGAAGATTAAAGGTGACCTGGAACCATAAGTTATAGCACCCCAAACCATAACTCCAACAGTGTGATCAACAAAAAACTGTGGATTCCTCCTTTCACCACGTCGCCTTCTAACCCTGGCACGACCATCGTGCATGCCTAAACAAAATCGAGACTCGTCACTAAAGACAATAATGTTCCATTCCTGATCCCAGAGTGACCGTTGTCTGCACCACTCAAAGCGATTACGTCGGTGTTCTCGAGTTAAAGGGAGGACCCAGTGTGGCCGGTATGAAAACAAGCCAAAACTTCTCATTCGTCGGTAAACACTTCGCATGCCAATAGGTCTTCCGTGTTCTGCAAACCATTCATTTGCAATGGACCTGGTAGTGGAGAAACGGTCCCTTAAGGCCAATAATCTTAGGCGGCGATCTTCACGGTCTGTTGTTCTACGGCGGCGTCCATTGCCCCTTGCTCTTTGCGTACGGCCTTCTCGAAGCCGTGCCTGACAACACCTAACCACAGTGTCTACACTTCTTTGCACTCTAACTGCAATTGCCCGAAAAGAAATTCCAGCTTCCCGAAGTCCCACTATACGGCCCCTATCAAACTCACTAAGTTGACGAAATCGTACAGGTCTCCGTACTCTAGGCATCGTAACCGATCGTAAAGGATGTCAAGAACCAAAATCCGCCAACGTTGATTCTTTACTGCGGCTGAAATATTCATTTTTAAAGCGTTATTGAATTAAAAAAAGCAGTATAAAAACCGGAATGTCCAACTGATAAGGCTGAAAATTTTTTCACTTGTTATTTACAGTAAGATAAATACATTCACCAACTTTTATTAAAATAAAACCATTTAAACTTTGTGTTCGGATTTATATGTCACTTAGTATAAAAATAATGCTCATTGAATACAGATTTCAGAAACACACCACACGTACTATTTGGAATAGAAAAAAGTGGCAGTTGCTTTTGTAAGTGACTGACGCACACTACAATTCAAGTTGCACTGGTTACCGATCAGTGACATGCTAAACAGTACAAAGCTACATTATCATTATCTGCTCCTGATATGATTTTCCTTGCACATACCTATACCTGAAAGGCAAGGCAAGAAGAAAAACGTATAGGTTGAATCATGCGGCAAGAGATATAGCGATATTACCACTGTGGAGGAAACGGACATGGTAGAGATAAATAACCACCTCAGTCTGGGAATGCCCTCTAGTATAATACCAAATATAACCAGATATTCTAAGACGTGCTCAAAGATAATTCCTCGAAGGACTGGGAATAGCAAACCGACCTAATCAGGAAAGATGGCCTCAGGACCCAAATAGGTGTTGGAACTGGTATAAATAGTGGGTAATCAGTCAGCTTACCAACACGTGTACCAGAATGATCGCAGGACAAGAACTGAGGCACCCGACTATAAATTGTTTCCGAAAGTCAAGCGGTGCTTAAATCAGTTGGCTGAATCGACTTTGCATCGACATCAGCGTGGAACTGTCGAGAACTTTCAGGTAGCATAGGGGATGGAAATCAGGCCCATCTCATATGGTTACCAGGGCACACCGGTCTGAAGGGAAACGAAACAAATTGCTCCACCTCCCTTCAATGGCCGTGTACCTTTACAGCTTGCTAAGTGGACCGGAAGGGAAATTTTTTAAAAATCTAAAAAAAAAAAACGTAAAAAAATCGACGAAATGTCATCTTGCAGTCTAGGTAGTTTTTAGTGTGCAAGTAGTCCATTCCTCGTTTGCCCGCTGACGTTTAAGCAACACGTACAGCTACGAGTTCCTAACAAGTGTACAGTAGCTTGTGTTAACGTCTTGTATTATAGAAAATCCTAAGTTATGTCACAAAAAACCTACGAAATGTCAAAAAGAAAACGACAAAATGTCACTTTTCAAAATGCGTAGTACGCGTGCAATTCAAAAAGTATGTACCGGTACCATATTGAAAAGCACTGATCAAATAGTGGTGACAGATATAGAGATAGAATGAAAAAAATCGTTGGTGTGACTTGTTGCCCCTGTCAGCTTCTGAATCTGTGTGGAGATGTATGTATATGCTCACACTACAGCGATTCAGTATTGGCCAAGTTTGATGGGCTTTCCGATTCCCTTCAAACTAATCTTTCGGTCAACTTCCCCGAGTGCTTAATCAGTGTTGGCTAACTTCCACTGGTGCACACACGATGATTGTTTAGTCGACCGATAGTTCAGTTCACTCCGAGTTTTGGCGTCGGAAAGTCGCGTTTTTTCGGGTAATCAAGTAAACTGGAATAGATTGTGCAAAATTTTCAACTGACTAATCTATCACTGCGACTGGAATGCACCCAACACTCTAGGAATCTCTTCTTAATCTTTCTTATCCGTTGTTTGAGAGCTATAATGACATTTCTGGAGATTGAATTTGCGTGAGATAGCGCAAAGCGCCTTCTATCGCACCAGATTCGAACCATTGTAGATCGCACACCGCTGCTATTGCTAGGAACCGTCGCAGTTCCCATTTAATAACTAAATGGACGAAGGCATCTCATTTTGTTTTGACCTGTTCAATTGCTAGCAGACCACCTTGCATTCTGCCAGCATCATCAGCCATTTAGCGGCACGGGAACTGCGACATTTCCGACTAATAGCATCGGTGCGCGATCTACAATGGTTCGATTCTGGTGAGATATATGGCGTTTCGCGCTACCTCATGCTGATAAACCGTACCTCCGGTATAGAGGATCAATGTGATGCTTTCGTTTGTTCATCCAGAAATAAGAGACCTACCCTATACCATACTAATGAGCAGCTAAGAAGCACGAAACAGCTGTTCATGGTTGGTTGTCTTCTTTTCTTGGTCGGACGGACGAAAGCATCTCATTTTGTTTTGACCAATATTGTATTTATTTTCATTGTGCGACCGCCTACTTCAACAGTCAGATACAAACTAGTATCGTTCGGAATAGTCGGCGCCGGCCGGCTGTTGGCTAGTCTGCGAACTCTTCACCAACCAAACTGTTTAGTTGACTCGGTGTGCGCACTAGCAGCCAAATCCGACTAAACTATCAGCCGTTAGAAAGTCTGCAGTCTGCGGGGGCCCTAACAGTCAAGCCATATGTGGGGCTTCGAAGCCTCTCTCACCACCGCCTGCAGCATTCTAGACCTATTAAGCATTCCGCAGGCATCTGGCAGTCTTTTTACACTTATCAGGTTCTGTGTCGCACAATCTTTCTCCCAGGCAAACTCTGAATACTGAAAACATATTTCGTATACAGCCCGCCATCCGAAGAGCTCGGCTGCGTTTGGTATATTATCAATGTACTCTCCCTAGAGGGCATTTCGCATGCTTGCAGGGTGAAGCTTACCTGTTACCTCATAGATCAATAGGGGGAAGGATTGTAGCTGAGAAAACCATGTCGGTTAATTTGTCTATCCCTGCACACTTCTGTCCTCTACGGCTGTCAGTTGACAGATAATTCAAAATTAAATCTGGGAGGGTGTCAGGGTGAACATATTACGCTCTACAGACGGACCTACTGCAACAGAGTAAATCCATATAATAAAAATCCGAAGTTTCACCTATGTCAACAATAATCTAAAACCCATACTTCTAATTCTGCTGTGAATGAAATGGGTAGTTATATAGACTGCAGCGGTAGGGTAGTGGTCTACTAATCAGTCGTCGTGCGTTGCGCGAGTTCCCCGTCCCAAGAGAATTCTTCTCTTGGCTATGGATGTTGTCATTGACCCTTTGTAGGGAGATAGATGGTCTTTGACTATTGAAAGCGGAGATACTACTCGGCGGATCTCTAAGGCGGACCAGAATGCGTATTTTCTCGCTAGAACCCGTGTGCCGTCTCCCCTTTCCCCTGTATACTCCTATAGCCCCACGGTACCCATGGGTGTTTGGGCATGAGGCCTTCGTGGAGGCTCAGGTATAAGAAAAAAGTTCTTTAACCCAAGGACGGAACTGAGTCTGATTTCAGCCCGACATTTTTTATAGACTACGTATATAGTTGCGAGATCTAGGGCCAATTTCACCAACAACAGTCCGTTATTCTTCACCTATAGGGTAACAGACCGTCAGATACAGCGAATGAGCTTCAAGTTCCAATCAACAAATTTTAGCAACCAATAGCTATGAAGTGTTGAAAACAAAATACTGTCAAAGTATGAGATGACAACTTGTCACTGAAACATCACCATATTCTGTCAAAATTTAAAGAAATGTTGGATTTTTGAATAAAATTCATGTCTTAATTACTATTGTTGATTTTTTATTCAAGTTTATATTATTTTCTTCAACTGATATGCGATACTGGGTGTTTTTTCCTATAAACCTCTTGCAGATAGCCATTAAGCACCTACTTGATGACAGGCTCTACCAAAAGATATTGCTCGTTTCCAAACACCCATTCATTTACTTGCCGTTCATCAGAACCACTATGGCACCTTAGATTGATATTCCCACAAAACCATTCAGGTTTATTGATATCCATAAATCCATAAAGTTGAATATTTTTCGTTGTTCAGGAACTGAACAAACATCCACACTATATTCACCGCGATTAAGAAATTCAGAAATATATGCCTTAAAGCTACCAGCAAACCTAAAACCTGCAAAAACAACTACAAATTTGCCATATTTTTCTGTTTTCACGAGTACACATTCTAGGTTATATTTATATTAGACATTATTTGAATACAGCTGATTATTGCATTTCAAGGAGTGACACATGTGTGGGATGTGTCAACTCTTGGTACCAGTCACAAAACATAAATATAATCTGAAGATTTAATTCCATGCTATTCAATGACAACACGGTGACTTGTGTGATTGTCAGCGGCCATTTTGTGAGAGTGCGACAGGGTTGCCAGATTGTGCATTAATATCCCGTTTCACCCTCCTGGTCCCAGTGGAGTAAGTTCCGCCTACTGTTGAAATTCACTCTACTATGCTTTATAAGACTATTCGTGACATTTTTCCCAAAATTATTGTACAACACTTGAAAAAATGCAAATGAAAATTTAAAATTATTTTCATGACGTCGCAAATTAGCTCCGTTGGTACCTTGGGTTACGCAGTTTGACAGTAGGGATGTTTGATACGATCCTATATTTAGAAGTATCAACACATTTCACGAGTGTCGTCCTCTTTCGATCCGGACTGTGTCAGAAAAAGTGACTACCATTTGGCTGCGACATTACCCTGCCAAATCAGACATATCTTTCATCATTTTCAAAGAAATTGTACAAAATCTTCAAATTTGTGAAGTTAGCGAGTTTCACTTCATAGGTTGTTACCAGACATGCCCAAATCATCAGTTGCTGCCGTGATATCCATCCCGACCACTGCATCCCCACGGCTAGGCGACCTGTATGTTAAATTTGTATTGATAGGACAGCGGCTTATGCTGTAAATCATATGTCGCAGTTTTTGTGCACTGATTGCAACGATTAGATGATAGCAAAAATATTTTTATAAATAGGAGATCTTTCCCATTCGGGATCGAACAATCTACCAAAGATGCTTATAATCATGATACCTAGTAAATTTTTACGAAACAAATTCAAAACCAGCAAATGTAAAAGATTCATTTCGCACCCTCCACCACGGGACGTGATCGTCGTTAGACTTGGCAACCCTGCGAGTGACAGATAGATATCCCCGCCAGTCAAAAAGAAACACATTACTAGTTTTTATGGGTTTTTGTACTTAAAAGACATTATCTGTGAAATATTTTTCATAATTTTTTGTCTATGTCCATAGTAATTGCATTATGCATCAGGGAGATGTAGGGATTGACACGTCTTACACATATTATCTGTGTTTTAGGATGGAGAGGACATAATGTTTTTATTGCTTTGAAGAAATTAATTAACCCATAAATTAATAAATGACGTAAAGGAAGATGAGGAATTGGATGGAATGTATTTTATATTCTATTTTCTTTCAAAATACAGACAAATCCGCACTATTCAACAGGTATGTAATGATAACTTTCAGTATATTGAAGTTGGTAAATTCGAGAGTGCCATGCATTAACAAACGTCCAAGTCTGCTGCCAAATTTAATAGCTAGAAAATCGACCTATTATTTGCCGCATACCCACTCGCTGAAGGGGATAACGGATTGTTAAATGTAAACCTATAACATATATCAAAATACATGAAAGTTGTCCTGTTTTTTCTGTACAAAAGCATCATGTTGGAATCAAAAAGTGGTCTTGTTAATAATACAGTCGAATTTTCACGATCTTATTCAATATTTCAATAGAAATCACTAATATTCAGATACCTTTGACAGCTTCTGTCAAATTGCATTTCAATAAGGTATTTTCCCATTGGTCCATAATATTAATGTTGGTGAAATCGGCCCCTAGTCTGTTATCAAGGATGCAGCATCTTTCAGCTTATGTTAACTGCAACAGTCAAACTATTTTAAAGGTTTAGATTTATGCCCATTTTAAGGAAATCAAGCGGCAGGAAACTGAGCATGTAACCAGGAAACTAAGGAAAACCACGAAAATCAACTACAGTCAAAGTTTAGCTATCTATTTCAAAAATATGCTTTTAATCATTAATTTGTAATAGTCCAAGTGGATTAAACAATAACGAGAATTGGATCTACTTTTGGTTAATACTAATTCTAGACCTTAACCAGTTTTAAACATGAACCTGAAAAAATTCAGTAACCTGTTCCTTCACCAGTTCAGCTGAAAGCCTAATATTGGTGTTCAATAAGAATTATGTTACCTTTTAAAACTGAATGTTTTCTTGTTTTTTTTATGAAAAGTAACATAGGAGACACTTGTACAAGACATAGATGAAACATTTTTGATTCTTTTCACTAAGCAACATGAGATTGTTTTTTGATACTGTAAACACTACTGAAAGTCCTCAAAATGTACAATACCTTCACTGAATATGTAAAGAAATTGTATACACAGTTGCAGTATCGTTTCTGCAAGGAGCGGACACGGAATGTATTCAAGAGAATGAGAATCACCTGAAGAATCATTAGAGAGCAAAGCAGTCTAAGCATTATCCACTGACTCGACTTTTGCGTCTTGCACATGTAATAAAAACACCCTGTACAGTAAGGCATAGAAACACTTGGGTGGCCGCCGTCAGTGGAAACAGCCGGGCGTATCGTATAGTTTCTGTGGCAGAAAACAAAGCACAACGAAGAACTAAATACGAAATATCAAATTTATAATCAAATGATGAATGTAATTCACGCTAGCTACACCTAATACAATCAGAGATCTCACCGGCTTCGGGCGCTTAAGAACTAGAACAACAATGTTCATAACGCCCCGGCAGTCTAAACAAAGCACTGTAATCCATTATACCGATCCAGATACAAAATAATACTCACTGCTGATATAATGTGTATTATACGCTCGAAATTCAGCAGTTGCACACCTAATGAACAATAATGGAAGTTGTATCTACGATTAATTAACTCCCTACTTCGTAATGTTGCCTCTACATAACGATGGTAGAATGGTAGATTGTCCTCGTTAAGTCGTTTATACGGGGTGACAGATTGATATCACAAGGTCGTATTGTGTGATGACGTTATTAGTATTTATAGCTATGTAGTCTGGATGCATGCATCTAATAACATTGTAACTGATATTTTGCCGATTCTTACTTTTTGAATGATTTGAATTTGATATTTTTGAATAACTAACTTTTTGTTAGTGAGAGCATGGCAGAGATGCAGTTTAAATATTATTGTAAAGATCGTTACTGTTTTACTGAAGATTAATCCCGACATTGTAAAGTATTATACGAGTCTATCGAATCTCACCGATTACACTAAAACATGGTATACACTGAGAACCAAATTTGTCTGATGGCATGAGTTCAATGTGTTCGACAGAGCAGTATGTATAGACACATCTGTTAGAAAGAGATAGAAGCCACCTGGATAGCGAAGCTCATAACCGCGTTGCTGAGCAACACTGACGCGGCAATCTGCTCCGTTGCCAATATGTTACATCAGCTTCTTTAATTAAGATGCGTATTAAAAATATGACTTCGCTTATTCTTCACTTCCAAATATTGGTTTTATTTTGAGCGTGCACATTTTAAACTATTAATTGTTTTTAGGATTGATTCCCGATCGGTCCCAAAGGCAATCCATTTTAGGTCAAAATGAAAGTTTATTGCATCATTGGCTCGTTTGATAACACCGCATACTTCAAGGCAAGGTTTCCACCTCCATGATCATAGT